GTTTGGTTTAGTAGAAAATGGCAAGGTCACACCTTCACGTATCCAGTTTAACACTGTATTATTATCTGAAATTGTCTCCCAGTAACTAATATTGTCTCGAAGTGTATTTGCTCTGAACATTGATAAAATATCTTACCACACACTACACATTGGTTTTTTGATGACGTAGGTATTGACCTCAATTGTCATTAGTCAGCCCCATGAGTATCGTAGTCTGGTCTGCCAATTGGAGGCCTGGAATTAAAGGTTCTGCCGGCGAAATCATTACGCGTGTTGACACCATTCCCACGGTAACCTCGATAGAATCCACGGCCCGTTGACCTGCCTCCTCTGTGAGTTGGGTTACCCCGTGTGGGTTGTGATGGTGATGGCCGAACAGACAAAGTTGACGACCCTGCCGCGACTCCAATGTTGTGTAATGCACTGTCCGAAAATGTTGATGAATTATTTTCAAATTGTCTGAAGATTCTAGCCGTTTCCTGATCAAAAGTCGATGTGACCACCAAATTTGTATACTCTTGTTGAAGAAAATTTATTTGGGCTGCCACACACGTAAATAAGCAATTCAATGCACCTTCTGAAACATTTGGGCCATTGCTAGTGACCGGAATCTGATGTAGGATTTTAATGGCAGTTTCTGAGTATCTGGCACAATTTTGACAATATTTTCAATGATTGTTTACAGTCCTGCTTTATTCCCACTGCGCTATCTCTCACTTTGTAATTATCAGGAACAGGAGTACGTTGAAGAGTTTCTTTGATTCGTTCGAAATCTCTCTGAATATCAGCTGCAGTAGACGAAGAAGTCATCACACTTGGACTGGTAGTAGTGGGATCGCTATTCGACCTGTCGTGGTCTGATGTGTCATTCGCTAGATCCGCGTTCACATCTTGAGCAGGAGGAGATTTACTTTCTTTTTTCTCAAGGTTATCAATGCGTTCATTGATTTTTATCAAATTGTAATTGAAAACTAGATTAGATAACTGATGGAGTATCTTAGAAATGTCTTCCTTCGCAGCCATTGGCATTACGTGTAGAATAGATTTATACCAGACTGTGTAAAATTTACTAGATCTAGATCTACATGTTTATTTCATACTTGGTCTTGTGTGTATCACACAGCAAACCAGGGCCAGGCCGGCTGGTAAGCTTAGAATAGATCTAGATCTAGATCTAGATCTAGATCTAGATTCTAGATTAAGATAGTCAAGTATTTTGAAAATTCAAAACGTCATAGATCTAGATCTACTTATCACTCTAATGTTAAATCAACACTGATGTATAAACTGTCCGTTTGGAATGATAAATCCAGGTTTCGTTCAAGTTTTACCGATGAAACAAATCAAATTGTATGAAGTAAACATCTGAGATTCATAATGGCGGCCGCTTTGTGAAGGTGGACAATAGCAAAGACGACGTGGAACGTTATTAATAAATAAGGTTCCGCCAAAAATATAGTGCACATCGGGTAACAAAAATCTCTCTGTCACTAGCCGGAGAGCTTGGATCAAGGGGATGCCGTGGGTGGTTAATGTTTCCCTGACTCCATCTATCCAGGTCTTTTTTGGTCGTCCCCTAGCCTTGTTGCCATCCGCTTTTTGTATATAGGTACGTTGTGCTGGGTGGTGCGTTATTAATAGCATGAGATGTCCTAACCATTTGATTCTTTGGTGTTGGATGTGAATCGTGACATCCTTTGTGCCCACACTTTCTCTGATTACTGTGTGTTCAATTTTGTCTCGCCTGGTTTTGTTTACTGTTTTTCTAAGGCATCGCATTTCACATGTTATAATTCTTTGCTCTAATGTCTTGTTCGTGGTCCATGTTTGGCATTGGTAGATGAGTGTTGGGATGAAAATGGTGTTGATCATTTTGAGTTTTGTTGTCATGTGGATGTTCGGATGTTTCAGTAGTGGAGTAAGCTGGTAACTAACATTATTGGCCTTTTGTACTCGTGTTTCAATTTCTCTATTCAGTCGCCCATCCTCTGTAAATACAATTTCGAGGTACTTAAATTCTTGGACCTGTCTGAGACTGTTGTTGTTTATGAAGTGGTCCTGGCTTTTTGCTTACTTTCATTATCTCTGTTTTGTTGATGTTGATCTTCATGTCAAAGTTGTTACATTCTTCGTTTAATCTGGTGGTGTGGTGTTGGAGACTTCGTTCATCTTTGTGTGCCAGGCTTTGGTCATTAGCGAAGAGTAATTCATTTAGGGCGTCTTATTCTGTGTTGGCCTCTTTTGTAATTGTATCCATATATATGATACATAATAGTGGTGATAGGACACAACCATGTCTTATTCCTGATGTTATCTCGAACCATTCTATGAGTCCCCCCGACGTTCTTACTGTACTTAATATGCTGTTCTCGTAAATGGCACGGATGTTATCTAGAAGTTGGTCTCTTACAGTGTAGTTTTCGAGTTCTTTCCTTAGCTTGTTTCTGTTCACTCTGTCGAACGCTTTCCCCTGGTCGACAAATGCTATGTTTAGTTCCCTGTTTTGTTGTATTGCCCTTTCGCACATTTGTTCTAGGGCAAATATTGCATCCTCTTCCCTTTCTAAATCCCATTTGGGCCTCACTCAGAAATGGTTCAACTTGATGTCTTGTATGCCATTCTAATATCTTGGCGAACGTCTTGCCCACATGGCTTAGTAGTGAAATTACTCTATATATTCCAGCATTCTCTTGCTGCTTTTCTTCTTCCAGATTGGTACTATGATCGCTTTTTGCCAGTCGCTGGGAACTTTTCTTTCTGTCCATGCTTTCTGGAAGATTTTTGTAAACCAAGTTATTCCAGTTTCACCACATGCTAGGTTGGTCTCCGGGGTGAGCTCATCTATTCCTGCGCTTCTTTTTTTCGGGCGTGTTTTAACTGCTTGTCTGACCTCTGATGGTAGGATGGTTGGTTCTTCTTCCTCTGGGTGGCTTGGTTGGAATTTTTTGTTTGTTTGCTTTTGGGAGGTGTTCAAAAGTTCTGAGAAATATTTCCTCTATCTAGATTAGATTTAGGAGGCGTCGATAATAGGGTTTCCTGTTTTGTCATTAATTATAGCTGTTTGGTCGTACGGTTCTTCTCTGAGCCTCTTTGACTTTACACTTCTGGAAAAGTCACGTGGAGATTTAAGGCACAGTTCGCTTAGGTGTTCTCCATATTTTGCCCAAGATTCATTTTTTGATGCTCTAACAACTCTTTTGCAGTTCCTTCTTGCTAGTCTGTGTTGCGTGTAGTCGTTTTCGTCCTTGGATTATAATTTTGTACATTTCTGAAAAAGTTTCTTGTTTTCTTTGATGGCCTCTTTGACGCTGTCATTCCACCATGGTGTTCCTTTAATGGATCTTCTCCTAATTCTCTTCTGTCCACATACTTTTATCAGTGTTTCTGTTAGCAAGTTTTTAAAGAGAGTACATGTTTGTTCCACTTTCATTGAACTAGTGTCTTGGTTTTCTAGTCTCTTTGTGATCTCGTCCTCATCTTTCTGCACATTGCCCTCTTCACTGAGTTTTCTTAAATTAATTTTCTTTGAATGTTTCTTTTTCTGTTTTTGCGTGTGTTTTTTTCCCTTCTTTACTCGTCATCATCACTAGTCAGTGATCTGTATCAAAGGAGAAGTTTGGGATTGATCTTGCATCAGTTGTTTTTGTTCTGTTTTTGTCTCAGTATGAAGTCAATCTGTGAGGAAATTTCTAGGTTGTTCCATTTGTACCACAACTGGGTCTGACTCGGCCTGTGCTAGTAAAACGTATTTGTGATGTATAATTCATACTCTGCACAGAGAGCTAATAGTTGTTCCCCGTTATAGAATTCAAAACGTTCCCATGAAATTGAAAGACACATTCCGAAAACCCCCAAACAAAACAAAACGAAAACAAAAAAACAAAACAAACAAGCCTTAACGGTGTACAGTAATACCAACATGAGACTCGTTCTCCACGTTTAGAGAGTTTACGGCCAGCTTGGCTTTTCAATAATCCTGCTCTGAACTATCAAGGCGCATAGCTTCTCTTGGACGTGGAAAATACAAATACATACATTCGAAATTCACAACATTTCGTCTGAATTTTGATGTATTTAAATACAGCATAGACTGGTGGCATTCAAAGGACCCATATACTTGGTGATTTTCGGTCCAATCGTGAATGTTTAGTTGTTTACCGATTGGTGAAGTTCAGCCACTTCTGCATCTAAAAATAACAAAGACAAAGTTCTAAAAGTTTCTTTTCCAATTCACAAATTACCCTTGAAAAGACGGAAATAGTCGAGCATTTAGCAATTCTGTTGCAAGAAACAGGCTCAAAACCTTTGGTGCAGTTTGCATATTACGTTTTTCATTTTCATTCTACCTACATAGAACTTCCAGGAACTCTTTGGTAAATACAAACAAAAAAGTTGCATAAAATCATACAGTTTTAAAAATTAGTAGATTCACAACAGATCGTGTAACCTATATTAGATAACATGCTACATAATGTCAATATAGTTCAAAGAATAGGTTAAATTATAAACATATTTAAAACCCTCATATGGTATTTAAGAAGTTCAATCTCGCCGAATTGGGTAAAGGGGTGAGGACTTTGGTGGACACATTTTAAAAAGAAATTATTCTATGGTGTTTATTTTCAAGATGACAGCCCCTTCTATAACAACCGTAAGCAAGCATGCACAAAAAGGGTCATGTAAAGATTTCAACATATCTAAGTCACATATAGATTTTACCTCAGGTTCTTGGTTTAAAAAATGGGCCTTAGATGTCGCCCCTATCTTCAAATTTCAAAATTAAAGACCGCGAAAACAGTTAATTAAATCCATGATTCTAACAAACAGATCGAAGTCTAATATAGCATTCAATATTACAGAGACAAATGTTTAATAATACACTATTCAATCTATATTGAAGAGTAATGCACATTAAAACAGTAACAATCTGTCTTGCAGACCATCAAGAGAGCCATCAGGTCATCGTCGGACGAGTTGACACCCTTAGTGTTTGCACTGACAGTCAGTGCGTACGCTTGGCATTTGGTGTTGTTTTTGCAGGGTGACAATACCTGCAACATACAAAAAAAGAATTTAATGGCCCTTCAATGATCCTGCTCTGAATTAACATTCAAGGTACAGGCCTATAGCTTCACTTGGACGTGCCAATTATACAAGCATTCGCCATTCACAAAACTTCATCTGAATTTTGATGTACTTAAATAAAACACAAACTGGTGACATTCAAAGGACAGGAAGCCCCTTATACTTGGGGATTTTGGGTCTAATCCCGAAATTTGGGTTGTTTAAGATACCTGCCATATAACGAAATACGAAATGAAAGGCTGTTATTTTTTTGGTTGACCTAGTGTGTGCATATCCATAATGAGCCAAGTTTTTTTTCTAACAAAATACTATTCAACGAAATGGAGATAATGATGGGAAATAGAAATCTGAGCTTCAGCAGATGTTCCCCTTGAATTTGAGGAATAAAAGTTTTAGCTGCTTTCTTCTTGTTTTAAGTTATAAATTGAGTGTGCATTAGTTTTTGGCTCCCCCTCGTATAATGGCACTACGACAACTGTAAGTTGAAAAAGTAATACATAGAGTGTTACCTTCTAAACGCTTTTAGCGGAATAAGTTACATTCGCATCTTTTTTTCTTCTGTTCATATTACAGGCACAACTAAAATCGAACGGAATCTGAAGGAAATATGTAAGGCAGGGTGGTGGAATCAGGCTCTCGTCAAAATAATCAAAGTGAAGAAATTTGCATTTTTCCGCAGGTTTGTGAATTTTTATCAATTTTTTTGTTTTTTGGCTCAACACCTTTCATGTCCATTAAAGAACTCATTTCTGTGTGGATTTTTCTTAAAAACGTTGATTAAAGACACACAAAATGTAAATTTTCAGTTACCACGGACTGTTAAGCTAAGTATAACTACCTTTTGGCGGCCGTTTTCTCACTAATTTTTCGTCTGAAAACAGGTGACCCCACTTCTTCATTGGCAAATATCTCGACTTGTATTCAAGATAAATGGATATTTTTTCATGGAAATAAAGACAAGTGAACAAGCTTTAAGATGACACCAATAACTCTACATGCCCAAAAATTGACGAGAGCCTGATTCCCCCACGCTGCCTCACATATACTGGCGTCGGTAACAAAGTGGTTCGGCTACCACGCTCTTTGTCATGAGGTTACGGGTTCCGATGTTCGAGCCTCAGCTCAGTCGGATGTTGTGTCTTTGGGAAAGGCACTTAACACGAATTTCCCTTTTGACTAGGTCCTTTCGGAGATGGACGTTCAACTCGGAGGTCACGCCTCATAAATAGCCTAATAGTGTTGCTAGGGGGTTAAACTTATACCATTTAATTATTTTATAAAAATTCGTTGACAAGACACATTAGTTGTGAACTGTCAGAAATCTGTTGTGCATAACATCAACAGTGTAGTCAACTTACTGTATTGAAGCTGAGAGCGACATTCTATTTTCTCTAAATGTTTTGTCTATCTACATCAAAGTTACTCTCTCCATTTACCTGCCTATCTCTCTTTCCCTCTCTTTCGCTTCCCCAATCTCTCTCTCTCTCTCTCTCTCTCTCCCCCTCTCTCTCTCTTTCCCCTCTCTTTCTATCTATTTCTGTTTTTTGCGTCTTTCTTTGTTTTCTGCGTCTCTTTTCTGCCTCCTCCACTCTCTATGTCTCCATTTTTCTCACCATTCCCCTCTTTCTTCCACCCTCCCCCTTACCCTCCACACTCCCCCTTTCCCTCCACACTCCCCCTTCCCCTCCACATTTCTCCCCATTTCTGTTTGCAATTTAAATTTTATCAAGGAATCTTCCATGTTAAAACCAAATTAAATTTTAGTTCTCCAGTAAAATTAGAATCAGCAAATTTATGTTTATAATGAAACAAAACGAAAAATCAGGGGGAGTTTTCCAAGCAAAAAGGCATTAGGAGTACATTTTATGCCTCATTGGCTTCACATGAGCCGAAAATGACGTCATTCCGTCAAAGTATCAAAAGCTGAACCGAAAAGTGAATCCAACGTGTTTCAGTGCTAACTTTCTTGGAAAATATAGAAGAAGAAGAAGAAGAAGAAGAAGAAGAAAAAGAAGAAGAAGAAGAAGAAGAAGAAGAAGAAGAAGAAGAAGAAGAAGAAGAACAACAACAACAACAACAACAACAACAGAGCTTCCCAAAAGTCTATCACATGTCGCTGGGACCAGGTTGAGCTAGCGAGACTGCGGTCGGACCATCCTTGGAGTTTAAGATGGTATAAGAACTTTGTAAATGAAGAGCTCAGCCCATGTTGCCGAAGATACGGCCATGAAAAGGAAGATGTCAAACATATGTTTGAATGTCCAGGAACAATGGCAATTCGAATGGAGTTATTTGGGCGAGTGGAGGTGCCGCTAAGCATATTGACAATGGAGCCGAAAAAGAGCCTCGCTCTCGCTCGAAGATTTCTTCGTGGAGTCCGTCAAGCCCATTAAGGAAATAAAAAAACAACAAAAAAACAACAACAACACCAACACCATCGCTTTAGTTAAACAATGGACTGACCAGCCAAAGCTCCCTGGAATCCGGAGTTGTAGTCTGTGGCTACCTCGTTGTGCTTGTGGTCATTCCTTGCATCTTCGTAACCGTTTTGAAGGTCAGGACCCCCTACGACCCCACCTTGGAGAATTTGTGGGCTGTTGCCAGGGCTGTCTCTATTCGAGGTGTTGCATGGTCCGTGAGTGGGGCAGGATCTAGAGAGCGATGAGGTGTGATTAAAAAGGATTATATGAGATAATTTATCTTTGAACGATCAGAGAAAGACTGAGATGAAAAGAGTGAATAAAGCTAGGTTGTTGAATATTAATTGTGATGAGATAATATAAAATAAAGCTGCTTAGACAACAGCCCCCCTCCCTCGACGTCACTAGCGAGGTCCTGAGGAACGCTGAGCATTAAATTTGGAGCAGTCTTGATATATATATATATATATATATATATATATATATATATATATATATATGAATGTGACTTGTTTTTTAAATTGTAGAAATTTGGCAAAGCATTTTTTAAAAAGAAAATGAAGTTGTCATGTTATCGCTAAATTTTTGTGTGATGAGTTGGGCATGTCTTCGCCACTCTGGAGTAAACTATTGAAATTTTATTCTTACCATGGCGAAGATATAGGTCTCTATTTATGTACAGAGCTAAAGAATGTTCCTTTCTGTTACCAAATTAATATACACCGTTGATTTGAAACTCTGGACAAAACATGCACATTTTGGAGTTTATTTGATTAATCAGGTCAATCACTAGGGATGTATGTTATTTAAAATATTTGTTTATATTAACCTTTTCATTTTCCACTCTAGTAGGACCGAGATGCGAAAACAGTCATAATTTAAATACAATTGTTTTTTCGATAATTTAGAAACAAAACCAGATACATGCATAAAACCACCTATACAGACAGTGGTCAGCATAGACTTGTCCTAGAATCCATAAATAATGGCATTGTATTAACGCTTTCCTTTTTATAACTCTTGAAAAGGGTTGGTAACGGAGAGGAACATTGATCACGGAAAAGAATTTGAGGTAACGGACAGAAAAATACGGTAACGGCAAGGAAATATATGATAAACCCCAAGTCATACAGATAGTAAAAACAAAAATCTATCTAGGCTTATCAGATGCTTGATCAGAACAGTGCCTATTCAAGACACTTACGGTGTTCAAAGCTGATTTTAGGAACTCAATTATGAATTTAACTTCCCATAACATGATCCATGCTTTGAAATTGTTTTTACCTTTGTCTTGACAGATTTCATTTCACCCCTTTTGAATTTTCGTTCTCTTTCACAACCACCAATGCAAACCATGTATATTTGTCACTAACAGTTCTTCCATCTAGCCATGGCACAATTTTTCAGTCTACACGTTTTACATTCCATAAACATACAGGATCTGTCGTCAGCTGAGCACATGGAATGACCCAAGAGAAAAAAAAAGCTGTACCAACAGCTTTACATAGCCTAATCAAGGCTGTGATTAGAACAAGCCTTGCACATGTATGTCTGCCTTTCTGAATCTTTGGTATGTGCAACCGAGATTGTTTTTAATTTGTAACATGGCATAAATTTTATCAGTGGTGTTGAGTACTCTGTAAAAAATATCCAGTATAGATTATGCAGGGGGTCAGTCTTGTGTCTTTTTTGGTTTCTTGACGTCTTTATTTACAACTGTACTTTTCTTCCCTGAGAAAGTCGGTGATATTTATTCAACATGAATAAACCACTTTCATGTATCCACGGCGAACTGGAACTAATAGTGACCCTTTTTGTAGGTGTGGATTTTCAAGACTGGCAATTTCGTTTTTATAGATTACACTGGTCAACAAAATTCTGAAAAATGTTTGGCTTAGGCATGTGTATATGACTTTCATATTGAATTTGCGTGGTAGAATTATAATCTTATGTCAGATTTTCGCTTATCATGTCACGTCGCATTTTATTTTTCTCTTTAATTCATTAAAATATAAATCCCTAACATCGCGTTCGCCTGAGAATCAAAAATACAATTTTAGGCGGTTACGTTCAGCTCGTTAAGTAGCATCTATTTCTCAAGTGAAATCATCTTCTGTCCAAGTAATACGTCATCACATATGACACTTTTAATATCCGGTCCAGCTAAAATGGCCACTTTCAACTTAATTAACACAACTGGCGTTTGGAAATTTCTTTTTCCGTCCAGACACCCAAGCAGCACACCAGAACCCCCCCCCCCCCCCCTGTTTGTGGACAATGGCCACCTAATTCAAAAAATTAATTCTAAAAATGACACGAGTGAACAGTGGAAATCACTTACATAATTAGCTTGAATAATAACAGTAGACTGTAGAAATGAGAGGAGTCTAAACTTAAAAACAATGTGTCATAGAAAAATGGGATAATAGACATTATGCAAATATAGCACACTTGGATAATTAATTTTCTAGAAAAATAAGTTACTTCCCTTGTTTAACAGAAACTTCTTTTTTACCCGCCTCGACAAAATAAAGAATACATGTACCTTTTGATTTTTGCCTGTATTATCAACACACCGTGAGCTTCACTCAGTATTAATTACTGGATTGATTTGCAGGCCACACTAAAACTGACCCCGGGCCATATCTGACCCATGAGTCATTGTTTGCCCATACCTGCCTTAAAATTTACTTATTTTTTCCCTTTCCACTTTCCATTATCAGTGGTCTTTTCCGTTACAACTCGTATTCCCATTCCAGTAACGGAGTTGGAAGTAACTGAAGGGGAAATAGTGTATTTCAAGAATCGTGGAATCAAAACCAAAATAGCTTGCCTCATACATAACATTTGCTCATGGTGATCTAAACAATCGAAAACTCCTAAAATAAACACTATAAGGCTTTGATAACAACATGAAAAAGTGACGGTTTCGGAAAGGAACTAAAGTAAGCTTCAGTTGTCTCTGGTTGGTTGTTTTGACTTCTCCTGAGAGAATACTCCTGTGTAGTTCCCTCGCAAATCTGTTTTGAATGGGCGCGACGAAGGGAGACAACTTAAATTAAAAGCAAAAAGGATCCAGGAGGGGTCTATTCTGACTTCAGCGAGGCAAAACGCTGTCGGTAACGGAGAAGAAAGTGATTTACTGTGGACATACATTGCCATGCCATTTGCGGTCAGCTGCAGCGAGCAATTGAATTGAAAACGATTTTTTCGTATAAATTGAGTGTATAATCTAATTATAAAAAAAGATAGAAGTAACAGCAACATAGTTAAAGGAGGGAGCTATTTATTTTAAGTTATTAAAAAATCTCTGCGACATACGTTTTTCTGCTACTTTTACCTACAAAAGCGCCCACAAAGTCCCGATTAGGCTCAAAACTATGGAATTTGAGTTATAGGCTTTTTTTTTTAGCGTCCTCAGCCTCTCCTACAACTATTTCATTGCATAAAAGTCCCCAAAATCCTTATTTCTTTCTATATCGGGCATGTTTGTTACCACCATTTCCTCATAAGTCAATATTATATTTTTCTTTCATCGGCCGTTTTCTCAAAACGCGATTTTTCTCTTTATTTTTAAACAATACCTCCACCATTTTTTATCCAATCTTCAAGAAATTTTCACAGTATGAAGAGAAGATGTAATACTAAAAATTAGTCTGTTGAACTTTTGTTATATGGAATAGATTTTTGTTGGTGGTGTCTGGAGGGTGGATTTTCACGTATTTTTTTCAAACTTGAATACTAGGAAAAAATTTTAAACAAATTTTATAATTCGTTTAGGAAAAAATCAACATTCAAAGTTTTAGATCTAATGTTTGTTTACATGTATGCAACCCTCCCACCCCCCCTTCCAATCAATTTCCATAAACGATAAGTGCGGTATTCATTACGTAAGACATGTCAACAACATCCGATATGGCCGCCGTATCCATGGAAACAAATTTTTTTTCCTCAAATTTGATTTCGGATTTTAAGACTCCTTGCTTTGCTGGTTATATGTGTGAAATATGGTAGAATTTGGTCAGTTAATAAACGGGATGATAGTCTTCAGGTAAATTGCATTTCTATCTATTTTAAGTTATTAAAAAATCTCGGGGACATACGTTTTTCTGCTACCTTTACCAACAAAAGTTTCCATAAATCCTAAAGTTTGAGGTATAATGGGTTCAAATTCCTCATGAAGTTAGAAAAATGGTTTACAAATACAAAACAATTCGTATCAAGTCTGCGTTCGGTGTCTATTTAAGTTCTACGTTGATAAATGCCTGGGGACAAGGATTTCTACAATTTTTTGAAAAGCTCATTACATATATTATAATGTATATATACTATATATACAAGGATTTCTACAATTTTTTGAAAAGCTCATTACATATATTATAATGTATATATACTATATATATATATATGTATTATACGTATTATATCCGGAAAGTTGAGGATCTACTTACGCTCCCCTGTGGTGAGGTTTAAGCGGATATTTGGAACCGTAACCGATCTCGAAGCTGAAGCATCCACCCTTGATTTTGTTGTCTCCGAGAATGTAGTTGATCTGCTCCACAGCAAACTTCCTGAAAGGGGTTGGGTTGATGTTTTCCTTAGCAGCCAGCAAAGCCAGGAATGCAGCATTGGCTGTTGAGAACATTAACATGGAAATGTGGACGGATGGAGACACAGTCAAAAAACAGAGGAGAATTAGTTGACCCCCGCGCTGTCTGTTCTGATTTTGGCATGCTTTGGATTTTATTCGTTAACAGAAAACAGTACAGAAACAAAGAGAGTGATGGAAAGCCAGCAATTTTTTGTGTGTTTTGTTTTTGTTTGGGAGGGGGAATCTTGACATTATGATTTCATTAATAGTGAAGGAACTATAGATAGATAGATAGATAGATAAATAGATAGATAGATAGATAGATAAATATATAAATAGATGAATAGATAGATAGATCGATAGATAGATAGATAGATAGATAGATAGATAGATAGATAGATAGATAGATAGATAAATAGTACCTTTCCAAAGCATTTTGTCCTGATGTCAGAGCGGTACGCGGGTGTCTGTGGTGTAGCAGCTAAGCGTTTCGATGTCGGACGCAGGAGACTCAAGTTCGATTCCCGAACTGAGACACTGTTATTTTTTACTGAGTATCTTGGTCTTTTTTCTTACATGTTATCTCCCCTTCAGTTTGGGCTAGCTCTGAAAGGCAGGCTCAGAAGCCCACATCCTTACTTACTTTACTTATACTTTTTCATCCTCTGTTGCCGTTAAGCGTCGAGGGGAGATGCAGTTTTCTATGGTAGGCCAGCTCCGAAGCTCTTTCAGTTGTGATGTTATGATTTCTTAGGGTTTCCTTGACACCCTCGATCCAGTTTGTTTGTTTGCCCACTTCCTTAATGATCTAAATTATTGTGTCGATTGGAAAGCAAAAAACACGTACACTTTTAAAGAGCAATAATATGACAACATACTAAGCACTCGTCTCGATATGTCCTAATTTCTTGTTTGATCGCCCAGTCTGTCTTTGAGAATGAGGATTGTGCGGACTCACCTTGTCGCCTAACGTTAAATACAGGTCATCCGTTAGAAATGTATTGTATGTTTCAAGGTAAAGAAACTGAAAAAAGACGTCTGCTTCAAGTAGTTATCGTGGAGAAACCAGGAGCTTGTCAAAATAATGAAATCGAATTAACCATAATAATATTTCCATTAATAGGCAATTTTGCTTAACTTTTATTTGTCGTTAGTTTTGTTTGTTTGTTTATTTGTTTGTTTGTTTGTTTGTCTGTTCGTTTCCTGTTTTAAGGTGGGGGCAAGCTGAGCAGCTTTTCTGACCAAATAAAACATTCTCCTGTGTGGATTTTAAAAACATCCATTGAATTAAAGGAATCAAAAACAACAACAAACAAACCCCAAAGCAACAGCAAAAATAAAAACACCACACAACAGCAACAACAATAACAAAACAACCCCGCCCCCCGTAATAAAAAGAAAACCCATAAAACAACATTTATTGCAATGTCCAAACTTTGGACTTTCACCAAACTTTGTAGGCTATTTTCTCGCTAATTTTACTTTGCCAATAACCGATTCCGCTCTTCAATAATCACTTTTGTCTCGAATTTTACTCAAAATTGACAGAGATAGATAGATCTAGATGGGTATTCAAAGCTTCAAGGTTACAACAGTAACTCCGCCAGCT